TTCAAGACTATTAGTTTACACCAGTTAGAAAAAGAAAATTTCTCAACTGAAATCAGGTAAGAATGAGTTAAAATCTGAACCATATTCATGTGTCTAACTGTAATTCATCAATTTTAGCTATTATATATTTCCGCGATTGCGCGTCGGAAGGATTTACTGAAATTCTTGTTCGACTCTCTTTGCTGGTTTCTAACTTTGCAGTTTAGAGCAATTCATTTCAATATTTGTATAAATTGAAAGATAATGCATACAGGTAAAGTTGAATTTTGATAATTACCCTACATATCAGGGTGAAAAATGAAAAAGGCAGAACACAACAATAAAGGCAAGGTTTTCACCGTAATCTAATACGCTCTTCAACAACGATACAATTGGCATCGTACTATATAGTATGCTATTCTTCTTTTTTTTTTTTACAATACTTCAATGTTGTATCTGTCATTTCAGCGAGGAACCTATACTTGTAATGCTGTTTCGGTTTCACAGTCTAGAAACGTTCAGGCCTATTTCCTGTGATCTTACCATATTTTAACATATTTGACTCCTGTGATCTTGAAAGTAGGTCAAGGTCATTTAAATGAGAAAACTGTATAGCACTCCATCCCAGATACCTACTGCCATGACCCTAGGTCCTCCAGTTCTTCAGAAGAAGTCGTTCAAACAAAATAGTTGACGGACGGACAAAGGCCGCAGCAGTACGGCAAAAGCTCAAATGGCCCTTCGGGTTAGGTGAGCTAAAAATGAAACTTATCGGTGATAGTCACCAGAAGGCCGAAATTGGAACTCCTCCTTTGAGGGCGATTTGCCTCTTTATCAATACAGACAGAAACATGAGCATGAACATTTACATACAACATATAACAGATAAACAATCAACATGAAACAATAATGCAACAAAAAACACATAAACAAAAAAAATAGTAGTTATTATACGAATTACGGTTGTAATTGCATATCGCTTTTCTCGAATACCCCTTAAAGCTGTCAGTGTCATTTTATAGATAATCTCGGAGAGGACATCGTAGCCGGTCCGTCACGGCCCAAAGTCAGGCGGATAGACAGGATATACTCTCAGCACCGCAAAAACTCAGCCGTTCTGTCAGTGGTATAACCGATATTGGACCTGTTCTGTTAACTGTCGTAGCCCTTTACATGTCAAATCATCGACTATTAGAATTGTTATGTTTTGAGTATGTGTCACAGTTTCATTCATAGGTATTAATGAGAGCATCAATATATTCATCAATATTAACATACTCTATAATTTTCAAATTGTTTTCCTTGTATACAAACCAGCATCTGCTGGAGGTAAATAATACATTCAAAAGACATAATTTGTTATTACTTGATTAAAATCATTTCATTTCTGTTTTTAGAATCAATATGCATTTGTGACTCTGTACCTTTTGTAGAAAATTTACCCAGATCCACCCCTCTACCATTCGAAAGGCATTTGCATGATGGTAGAAGCAATGCTATGTTTGGAAGTAATGGAAAGGAAATGTCAAGAAGATCTAAAGTTTCATCTAAAGGTACTGATTAGTAGGAGATGGGATGTGTTAACATCAGACATTGAAGAGAGTATGCGAAACAAAAGTTTCGTTGAACTCTACTCGTCAGTTTTTTTAAAACATTGGAATGCCTCCGACACCTTCTACAGTAACAGGAACAGGAGCCTGTTGATTCTGCTGACTACAACGGAAGACTTACCGATGGTCTGGCGGGCACAGTTGTGTGGAAATGTGGTGTGTTCTACACTCAAGATCCAATCTACCATGGACTTGTACTTATCAGGTATGCTCTGTTATACTTTCTTATTATTGTTAAGGTTTTAAAAACATAACCGTTTACCGTACGGAGGTATCGTGTTCGTGTCTCTTTGTCTTCCGTCTATCATATTTCTTTATATTTTACATTGAAACTAAAACCGCGTTTTATTATGTCATAATACATTGAAAGGACTAAATTTGACATTCTGTGTATCATATTGATCTAAAGAGACACAATTTTACAATATATTTATATGTAGACCAGGCTCACAAACCTGTTATACCTGTGACTATCATTGTTTGTGTGAATGTAGTGTGTATGCGGTTGCTTGAGTGCAACTCACGTGAGTAGTGTGTCGTGAGTGTTGGTCAGACTGACCAGTGACAAACGGACTGTGTGACTTACCACGGACTTAACCCATCACTCCCTACGATCCGCCCTTTATCCCTTTCTGATATTCCGCCAGCAGCCGCTCTACGCTGGAACTAGCAATAATTCAGACGTATTGAGACATCTAAGATGTATTACTACATGTTAATGTGGAGTGCGG